GATTAGGACGAAATAGATAAACGATCTATTCAAAATGGTAACGAGATGAGATAGGCATTGAAGCCGATTCCCTCCTCTCCCCCCCCCTCCATCCTCCGACATCTTTCAGTCACGAAGATTATTTGTACCACTATGCACCCTCCCAATCTTTTATTCTTCTCTTTTTCTTTTACACAGCGACATTTGCGACGTGCTTCAAACTCCTATTGAATATTCGATCTTTTTGAGGAGGGAGCAGCTTTATCGTTTTCCTCCATATCAATCTGCGGGGTATTTTCGTCGAGAGTTCGATAATCGTGTGGCTGTCCTTAATTGCGCAATTATGCACGCTCCCTTTTTTGCGACATGACGACGTATATCTATAGTGACGCGCGGCACGAGGGAAATTCGCGACATTACCGGGAGCAGTTTGCGTCTCCAACTTCTATCTACCGGCGAATTCTCCGTTTAAGCCAAAATCAATAGGCGCGTGCTCCGATCTGATAAGTATCTCTAAGAGAGGAAGGGAGAGAGAGAGAGAGAGAGAGAGAGAGAGAGAGGGTTCTATATATCTCTCTTTCTAATTCGAAGAATCCTCTTGCCTCGCACACTCTCATTTGCGTCGCGTATTTAAATATACTTGCGTATATATGGTCTACATGTATGTCCTGGATGCCCTTTGGACATCCTAAGGACATCCTTGTGCTGTCTGAGTGTGTATATATACTCGTGTGTGTATATATAAAATATATATCAAATTATCCTCGTTTCTCGTATACAAACTTGATTCGTTCAACTAATGCAAAATTGATTTTTATTATTTGAGTTTCGCATTTCAAACTAATTCTGATAGATGAGTAAATATTAATTTTTTGTCTCACTTTTTTTAAATTTCTGATTTGAGAAAAAATACAGCGCCGGTCCGAATATAAAATATAATGTGAAATATATATCAAAATATGTATAGGTACACAAAAGAGTAGTTTACAGCATAGTTTAAATTACTTCGCACTGCGACACAGCGTTCCCAAGTTTACACACGGTCACGTGCCATCCCGTTCCATTTAAACACGGGCTTTGCTGTGTTTTGTTTAATTCCTTCCTCCTCTCCTACAAGCATCCCGCTGGCGTTTTTACGCCACCTCTTTCTCGTACGGCCGTAAATCCTTCGTTACCGGAACTTTTTAACGAAACTGTAATCCCTTCGGCGTTCTGTGTTTGCCGAAAAGATTCCGTCGTCGGCGCGTGACACGTGATGTAACTTCCGTCCCCCGCGTGCTCCGTCTTATGCAATTTCCGGCGGTGAAACACGCGTGCACGGACGAGCGCGCTTCCTGCCGTGCAAGAATCCGTGGAATTTTTCGAGTTAGCTCGCTGGGCTGTCGCGATCTGAAAATCCGGAACACTTTGGCAAAAACAAAAAAGTTGGACGTTTAATCCTCGCGGAAATACGGAGTAATTCCGCTGTCTTCTTCTCTCGCCTCGAACAGTCGCTCTCTCTGGCTGTTCTCGATTGTTCTTTCGATCCGACTCCTTATTTTTTAAATTAAAACAGAACTTTTGTTTGATTACATTATACACGAGGCATCGTAGTTTCATAAATCACTCTTTATTCATACTCGAGAAAGCTGAATTAAGAAGAACGAGAATTTTTTAATCGAAGTATCGATATTATTCGAGTTTGTACATAGTAAAATATTTTATTCTTTAATTAGTCCCAAATGGACTTAATTTTGTGAGAGAGCAACGATGTCGTATGTTGAAAATTGAATTATTTCGAAAAATTTTTAGTTAAACATAAAAAATCCGAAACAAAAATTTAACGATCGCAATTGAGAGATGATTTCGCGATTCGAATGACGGTTCTTCGTCAATCTCGGACTTTCAATGTTCTCGATTCATTTCCGTTTGCGCGCGAGTTGCGTATCATAATAATTTTCCTATCGCAAGCGCAAATGTTACCTTGATGACATTGGCTCATTGTCGCAACTCACACTAATAGTCGCTTTTGCCCCGAGGCACGTCTGCCTATTAGCATACGCATTCGAGCGTGTCACGTTTCTTGCTGCCTCTCAACCATCTTCGTCCGCTGAATTTCACATGAAATGGAACCTCGGAAAGTGCTTCTCTCTTATTCTTGATAACTCATCTTCTTAGTAAACCGCGAGGATTGTTTTATTAACCGTCATCTATAGATTTTTCAACGCATTTAATCAAGTAGCAAAAAAATCACTTTTAGACATTTTTAAAAGAATCATCTTCTTTACGTAAATTTACTATTGCGTTTTTAACATATTTTGGAATTTGAATATTGAATTGATGCAGCGTAATCGGAAACGATTACGAAACAGTCTTTAGATACGTGTGTAAGATAGCGATAAAGAGATCTTCGAAGCGCGATGCTTTCGAGAACTGATGATCATTTCGGTTCAGGAATATTCCGCTATCTCGCCAGAACGAGAGACCACCGGGGAACACATTTTAAATTCGCGATTTCAACGATACAGGATTTCTCTCGTGGCGTGGAGGAGAAAGGCCAAGCGAAATCCAAACTCTTTGAAATCGGCGGACGGCTCCGCGGCTGCCATTGTGCGGGTGGCTTACCATCGTTTCCCCGGGATAAAGTGGGTATCACCGGATACTGCTCAACCCGAGTCTATCGTCGGAGCCGTCCTACGGCTTTCGAGAATCCCGCCTGCTCCCTTAAATTAGACGCGGGAAAGCGACGCCCGGTGACTTTTATAATCGTTTTTAATACCGCTCGCAGAAGCTCGCCTTCAGATTCTGCATAACTGTTTTATTAGCGTTTGTTGGAAGCCGCTTATTGCGCGACAGAAACGCCTGACAGTCTTATTGGCTTTTAGCGTTGGCCGTAACGACGTCAGACTCGCAGAGACGGATTTACAAATTCTTTTTATCTCCATTTTACACATACATTTATCGAAAATTATTGAATAAGTTATGAGATTTTATAATTTATAAATGTACACAGATTATACATATATATTTTTATATTTTTCGATGCACATAATATAAATGAAAATTGACTAGCTCGATGAATTCTTTTAATGCATCTACTGGGAAAAGAATTGCATATCTTCCAGCGATATCGAGAATCGAGACTATATTTTTTTATGCAAAGATCCCTCGCGGTACAATTTTTGCATTACGTTGGCATAAACGGAACGATGTAAAACGGGAGAAAAAGAGAAACGAAATTGATTCCAGCGTAGTGCAGCCGCGAGCATCACGGCTATCTTAATTTCCTGGACGGCGGATGGTGCGTGATAATTTCGATGAAAAATTCCATCCTGCGCACGGTGTAATTAACGAAGAGATGGCAGACCGCGCGGGCGCGTTTGTAGCCCCTGCCCGCTCGCGAAAGGACCTAATTAATTAGATATCCTGACGACAAATTGCTAGAATTACACTTCACTGATTACAATTAGACTCGGAATGAAATTCCGGCGCAATAAAGGCGGGACATACTATGCTTCGCGTTATATGTTCCCTCTTTCTCTCTCTCTCTCTTTCTACTTTGCATTCATGCGTACACCGTACGCACACTTTTCGCCGCTCGCAAGATTTTATGAAAAATTAAGTATAGTATTAGAATTCCTTCATTAGAAAAGAAGAGGAAGAAAAAGAGAACAATAAAAAAACCAGAGAAAAATAGAATAGATATGCAATTGTATGAGCGCTATTTTTTTTTTGTTGCTATTAAGTAAAAATTTCTATTATTGACTTCTTTAAGATTAATATATCAGAAAATTATATATATTAGACGGAGAAGAGGAAGAGAAGCAATTTAATTTAAAAAATCATAAACGAGAGTAATAAAAGAATGTAATAGCTTGGAAACAGTAACGCATAACTGGAAAATGTCTTTACAGCAATAAAAGTAACGGTTCATATGAAAATATATTTTACCTAATGCGCGATACCAATTATTCTCTCATCCGGTTATTACTTTCAATAACTTTACAATGTTTTTTCCGGGAGATTTTCGCAGCTTTCTTTGCCTTAAAGGGAGAAAATTAAATTTAGTTAATAAAACGGCCGGGTAGGGTCGGACGAGAGAAAGAGAGCGGAATGAAAACGTGGAAAAGCAAGGGAAGAGATTGAAGGTACAACGGAGCGAGCGGCGAGGGTAGAACGGCCCGATGAGGGTAGTCGTAAAACCGACCCATGAAAACCGGGGATCCAGCGTCCGGATTACGACTGCGAGATTCAAGAATTTTTCCATTTATCGCCCTTCTTGCATGAACGCATACAAGAATTCGATACGAGAATATGGGTGGCTCTCTCTCTCTCTCTCTCTCTCTCTTTGCTCTTTTAGACCGACGGAAGAAAACGTGGGAGAGAAAATGGTGGGAGGGGGTGGGAAGGAGGGGTAGGGGTTGTTTCCCCCTCCTCGACCTACGCCTTGAATATCTAATCGACGGCGTGCTGCTCGCTCATGCATGCACTTCGAATCGACGGCGAATCGCGGCGATGCATTCCGCGAGACACAGTGCACAGTCTACTCGTCAGAGAGATGCCACGGCATTCGTTCCTTCCTTTTCTCTTTTTTCGAACGGTGCATCGCATTTTTCAAAGCGCGCGATGCGATCGCTTCGTCGTAATATCCGGCGAAATTGAAAAGGATGGAACGTAACGCAACGCAAAATGCGTTGTTTTGTTTGTCGTTTATTGTGTTCGATATACGGAGAGTAGAAACTCGCAAATTGATTGCAAGTGCGCAGTAAATCTTTTTTTTTCGAATGTTCCACTGTTGCCAGTTTCATTGTGTTACAGTTTCTAGATATTTTTTTTTGTTTGTTCGTTAATTTATTTTTTTATAGTTGGCTCGAAAGAGAGCTCGGCTTATATTATATAGATCCGTTGAAAATAATCTTTATTAAAGTATATCGTTCTCTCATGATGCGCTTGTCTTCCTTTAGTAATCATTTTCTATAATTGATAAAAGAAAAAGAGTGACGCAAAGTAATTAAACGTGTCACATTACTATGATGTTTCAGGTCAAATCACCCCGGAAGTTTTGCCCGAGTTCTTAGCCCCTTTGGAAAATCATACGGTGATCCAAGGTCGTGACGTCTTCTTCACCTGCGTCGTTAATCATCTGCAATCGTACAAGGTGCAATTTCCTATTTCAAACAATTGTTGTTTATTGTAGTAAAAAGTATTTTTAAAAAAATCTCGCTTGCGTGCAGCATAAATATTAAGAAAATTGCCTGTCATAAGACTTATGTATTGAGACTGATGTATTAAGAGAAACACGACTCTCTCGGATTTCTTTCCAATTATATAACACATTTTTATAATAAACGATACAATATTCGCGTGAAAGATAAGAGAATTATACTTGTTAATGTAACACAATATGTACTTCTTCGAGTTATACGCTGTGCTTTATTCGCTTTAAACATATATTTTTTCTCGAGTCTGACTATATCCTGTCTATTACTACTGCAAATGTCGATACGAGTTTATTATGTATTTATGTGTCAGATATTTATGTATCAGAGAATTTTATATTTATCTTAAATATAAATATATACATCAATTTTAATTAAATTCGCAATTTTTGATCTTTTTAATTATTCTTTATCGTGTGAATTTTAATGATAAATGTATCATATTTAGCTGCAAATTTAGTTTAATTCTACTTTGGTTTAATTCTACTTTAGTTTAATTTTAATAAATTAAAATAGCTAATTTAAATATATTCTAATAAGATTTCCGATTCATATTTCAATCAAGTACGAAATTTTCTTTTATTTCGAGAAATAACATTCCGTATCTCTAATGTTGTACAGGTAGCCTGGATAAAATCCGATTCCCGTGCGATTCTGGCGATACACACACACTTGGTGGCACACAATAATCGATTATCCGTGACGCACAACGGACATAACACGTGGAAACTGCACGTGTCGAATGTTCAGAAGAACGATTCCGGTACCTATATGTGTCAAGTCAACACCGATCCCATGCGCAGTCAGGTGAGCTTTTTTTCATGAGTTAATTATGAAGATTTATGTAAACTCTCGACTCTCGATTTGGAGATTAAAAAACATAAGAGTAGCATTGCCGAATAACATAGTTAAGGATATTTTGACTATACAATAGTAGCAAAAAGCTTTCAAAACTTAAATAAAAATAAGGAAAATATTTCTTACAATTATAATGTTTGGAAAATGAAATAAATAAATCTGGATTATAAAAAGAATTAAAGTATCAAAAAATAATATGCTTTTTAACGACTTTATAAAAAAAATAGTTTTAATTAATATTTTCCCTAATTTATTATAAAAACTTTTGATTGTGGGTGGCCTCTGAAATCAACTGCAAGAAAAAAAAAAACGGATAGTTTACAAAAAGATTTTGGGTTACTATAAGCATTTCGCTATAATTTTTAGTAAATAACTTTTAAATCAATAAGTGGATTTAAATCAAATTTCGCACAAATGTTTAGTTAATACATGAGTTTTGTTAATACATGTTAAAATTTTTATTTTGCTGGCAATGTTTTTTCTTTGTCAAATTTGTCGATAAATGCGCGATTTTCCATAAAAATCAATACAAACTTTAAATTTAAATAATTTCCAAACCATGAAGAGAATTGTGCTCAGGTTTTGCATAGATACTCAGAAGAAATAGAACAGTCCACGAAATTTTCATGCTTTTGTCAATGTTTTGACATATTACATATACATCCTTAAACACCATATGGCATTTTTTTTTTTTTTTTTTTTAATATAACGCATATTTCTCTACATTTTCATATTTACGTATATCCCTTTTTCCCTTTTCTCCAATTTTTTAATGATACACCCGGGCACCCGCATTTTCCGAAATACCACAAACGCAGCTTCAAACGGTAATATCCGGTACAGCGGAACGGGCATCTGTAATAACAACGTATCTCTGTTAAATTAATTTCCATTTACCTTCAACCCGACGCTTTATTTTTCGACGACGTTTCCGCGCCGGAATTGCACGCACGGCGGCCGTTATACGCGCGGCTTTATCGATTCCCATCGACAGAGCGCGATATCGCGCCGTACAATGTAATTCGATTAAAAAGATCGAGGTTTCGTGAAATTTCGCCAGATCTGTCCGCAGATACGAAGGAATTTTTAAAATTCCATATACAAACTCGATCATAACTTTTTAACGCGCGCTTTTTCTTTATCCCCGACCATTATCTCGCGGTGTAATATCGATGTTAGTATCGGTCTACAGTCGCAGCTACATTTCAGAGTCGACGTATAAAAAGAGACTACTTTATTTGATATGAAGTACAAAATTTTATCATTAAAATTAAGATACAGATTATTCTTATATAGTTGTTATAGATTTTATTTTATCTTTGAATTCTCGTATGTGTATCAAGATTTTAAAAAATTTTGTCCTCTTAACAAAACATCAACTATCACAAGCATATCATTATATAAACATCATAATCCTAAAAGTTCTCTAAATATTCTAGAATTTAAGATAAATAGATAAATTTCGTGCAAAGCGTGAAAATAGAAATATATGTTAATTCATATATCATTTTAAGATAATTTCTATCCACACGCGTTACCTATATTATTTGTGCAATTTTATCAACAATTTTCGGATCAGTTTAATTGATAAGCGTACAATATTTTGACACAAAAGGGATATTGCATCGCAATTCCATTCCCAGTGGAATAACGTCGTCGCGACAAGGCAACGGTTGGGCAACTTTAATTATGCAGATTTTCGGCAAAGCTCAAGCTACACGCGCGTTCGAGAAAGCGCGCGAGAAATTATTGCCGGCGACGGTGGTGCGGCAGGTGCACACGTCGTACGGCTTCGAACGACTGTTTCCCCGAGACGAGGAAGATCTCGGCTTTGCCGCTCCGTAGCTAGACCTCTCGGCCGCTCGAAATATCCCTTCGTGCCTTAAATCCCGAGACCCGTGTGTTGTACCGATGCGAGATTATTTATCGGTCCTATACTTATACCGCGGTTTTATCCGCTCGAGACTGCGCGTCCTTTAAACCGCATCTGGCCAGTTGCTACATTCTTCCGTAGACTAACGCTCGGAGTTTACAAAAAAAAAAAATGTACAAAGATGCAATTTAAAAAAGAAAGATTTTTTATCAGTTAAAATATGAAGAATAGTACAAGCTACAAAAAAACTATCTACTTTACTATATTATTTACTACAAGTTAATTAATAATTAAATATATCGTTATACACACACATAGTTTTATATCCGTAGAACTCTCACAGTCTGTCCCTTGTCTTCTTTAATCTCTTTTCTTTTCTCACATACACATACTTATATGTATATATGCTATTATATTATTGCATTCACGCCTACCGTTTGTCTCGTTTGCGCCACGACGAGCACTTTGCGCCCTTTATCTCGCGGCAGGGCCGTATATTGCATCGGAAGGTTTCCCGCTTTGCTGGTCGCATTGAATTCTGCGGGATGTGTGCACCGCACCACGACCAGTAAATTTCACGTTAATCCGTGACGCACCAGCGACCGTCACTCCTGCCCGACCGATACGTGCCTTGGGTCGTAAAACGGTGCTTTTTTTTTTTTACACAGCAATGTACGCCACGAAACACTCTAACATGGTTTAGGCTGACTGACGTCTCGCGCCAGCACAACGTGATATTTTTGACCTGACGATGACGAAGTTAATGTTAAATGTCATACACATGCGAGATATTACTATATTAGATATATAATAGATATTGTATTAGATACCTGTAAGTTTATTAGCTTACTTATTATATCTAATTATCATTACTTCTTAAATTATTTCCTGTTTGAATTTTGTAAGATTGAAATTTTGCTCTTAACATCTTGCATGACTTAAGCGATAAAGTATAAAATTATTTAAAAAATTGTGTTAGTCTTATATTTGAAATTTGATTCATTAGAACATTATACATTGTCATATTAAAAAGTTTTTAATTAAAATAATCCTAAATACACAATATTTTAATCAATGGAATTTGATAAAGATGTCATATTTTCTACTTTTATAATTAGGAAAAATCTTTTATTATTATTTACTTTCATTATTATTTTTTTTGTAGAAAAAATTGTTGACTTTTGTACATAAAGATTATTAAAGCAAGTGCAACAAAAATATCGTATATTTATTGTTTTACAATGAAAAATAAAATAAAATGTTTCTAAAAAATTTTTATTTTAATTACACATATGCAGTTGAAGCTCAAATTTCATCAATTATTAGGGAATTTTATTTTTCATCTGTTTAAACTATACTATTGTTATCAATACTAACTATTGTTATAATACTAACTGTAGAATTTAAATAATATTTCATGTCAATATTAAAATATTCTTGTAGCAGAAAATTCAAGCCAATATTTATCTTATTTTATTGTAAGTCATATATTTCCTTGCATGTTGGTTTCATTGAATTAAATAGGATACGTGCACAATTCCATGTCTAGTAAATTCTATACTCTCATATCCGTGCGCAGGATACCCTCACCGTGTACGTGCACAGGACCGTAAAACAATGTGCTTTTTCTACGGCAAGTAGTTTGAGCCTTGTCTCTACCAGACCGCCTTAGTAAGGTCTCTCTACGGACTGTTTATCTCGCATAAAGGAATTTCGATCTTTTTTAACCCTTTGATCTTCTTCGCGCTCATAGTACGTTAAAATATAATTAATCTGTTCTTATTCTTTGGTAGAAACGATTTTAATAATGAGATAACTCAACTATACACAAAGAACGCGCGATAATAGAATTCTTTGATAATATTCGATATATCTGCTATTTAAAATGACTTTTGAATAATAATTAAAATAATCCCGTGATATAAGTTGAAAAATTGAAGAATTAACTTAAGTTATACAGTACATATAATTATAAGACTTTATTAAAAAATTGAATATTTAATCTTGCTTTTTTAAAATAAGTATCATCTTTTATTAGCGTGTATTAAGCATATTTTTTTCTCTGAAAAAATTAAGCTTGCAATGATAATCTAAATCTCAAAGTGCGATATATCTTGCTTCTTTGTTTCAGATGGGATACATGGCAGTAGTGGTACCGCCCGATATAATAGACGATGAGACTGCAAATGGAATGGTCACTCACGAAGGAGGCAATATAAGATTGCGATGCGTCGCCACCGGTTTGCCAGAACCTATTGTCAGTTGGAAACGGGAGGACGGTCGCAATATCATTCTCAGAGAGGATGGACAGAAACAATGTAAGCATATCTCACTGAATCTTATAATATTCTATTTATTAGATAATTCTAAATAATATTATACAGTTTGATTATATAAAAATTGCATTTTTATAATTTAATGCAAAATTTATTCTTTCTAATTAAGCATATTAAACATGGGGGATTTAATTCTGATGAAAAAAAAAAATTGTATATATAATAGTACTATAATTAAAAATCATATGTATGCGCGCTCGCCCCGTGAGTATTATCTCTTTTTTAATTATGCTATTATATAAAATAAAATTTCTCTTTCAATAATAATATCGGATTTTAATAATAATAATAATAATAATAATAATGTAGGATCAATCTACCTAGAATTGAATTGCATTTAAAGCCTTCGCTGCTTGATATCATTATCGTAAATGATAATTAACGTTCGTCACAATGTGAGAGACATTCAATAGACATGCATTAGCAGATACATATATTATTGGGTTGAAATATAGTCGAACTCGAAATATAACATGCAAACTGCAGTCCATGCTCTGATGAACTTACTCAATGTAAGTTCACTTACTGTTGATATTTTAGAATATCCTTTGAATCGCAACTCTCACAGAATCCGGTATTCTCGTAAAATCGAGTTATCCTTCCTTTGAAACCGCATGTTCTGCGAATGCATTCGGCGAGATGACTATATATTTCGCTGGAATAATAATAAAATTCAACACAGTTAAATAGTGCAAATTACGCCCGTGGGATACACAAAGTGGGCACAATATGTAAACCGAATTAATTTATATACAGCGTATTCCAAAAAGCGCTCTCCCTTATAAACTTTATAACATTTATAGAATTTCTACTATATTATAAGTTTTGCAAAAAATTTCGCAAACTCGAGAATTTTTCACGTAGTAATATTTGTCATATAGTACACAAGGATAATTAAATTTCTAGTTCAATTTATCCTGTATTACGTTATCATCACACACAGCAGTGGGCTATGTATTTCGGTGAATTCCTTTGTGCTCATTTTCCATCATAACCCTAGTATCGTATAACCAATTATGTGTATTTTTAAAATTATTTGTTAGTAATTTTATATTCTCGATTTCAACGATACTCATTGATTTTAGCATCATAATGACAACGTGTGTGTAACGTTATATCGAGATGTAAAATAGACACGCGCTCAAGTTTTCAACGCGTTCGATTTAATGAAACAAAAATTCTGATATAACATTTCACTCAGAAATAGTCGGAATGATAATACTAATTAATTATATGTTTGATGTTACTGCATACAAAACAAAAACCACCTCCGATTACGCAATAATTAAGTTCTTTTTCGCATTAATTGCCGTACACGATTATTATTTTTGTACCAATATATTACACTTAAATCAGACTCGTATTAGAATATTTATTTGTCAAAATTTTCACGATTTAATCGGACAATTTCTCGTTTCAGAAAAGTAAAAATGTGTACCCTTTTAAAGTCTTGAAAATATTTCCGTATTTTTGTTATTTTAATATAAAATTTTTGTTGAAATTTTGACTTTTATGTAGTTTAGAGTTTTGAGTTTAGGATTCGCACGTTCAAAGTATTGATATCTGACCTGATATAGGGTGCACGTTGAACGATAAATTCTAACTGCGAAGCTGACATAGATGTTGCAGAAACAGGAGTCATAGGTGACGCACGTGTATGCCGACACGGTTTCTAGTTTCTCGTTGTCGGTCATCTTAGCTTTATTATTGAATTGCATCTTCAACTGCAATGATTCATTGCCGCTATATATCAAATATAGGGAAATTTATTTAACGCGTCAAATATTGTAGGATAACTATATATAACGGTAACATAAATAAATTGTTTCTGCAATTTTCTTTCCATATTTAATGTCAATGCGATGTATGTAATAATATTGCAGAAAATAATATTACTTAAGACAGAAAATTAAAACCTAATTCCGAATACAAATTTGTCAAGTGTGTGTAACGATTTTATTAGATTATCTTTTTCTTCCTTTTTTGTTTTGAAGTATACTTTCTTTTATTTCATGTTCAATAGCTGTACATTCAAAATATCTATACAGTTATATTATTTTTCAATATTACACAAGCACTTAATTATCATGTTCGTATCGTTGACATTTCAACCAGATTTCGATTTTTCTTTATAATTATCAGGTATATCGATTATTACTTACTTTCTTGAAAGAAAATCCTCTATAATCAATATCAGTCGTGATTTATTATTTTTCGCTTGGCATTACATGAAATGTGCATTATAATTTATAGGAATATACACAATATAAGCTACGAGATTAAAGTTTGATTTTATCGCTAATAAAAATGAGAACGTGGGAGGTACTTGACTGATAAAGATAAAAAATTCTGTCTATACGAGATTCTATCTGCGGTGCATTCGATTGAGACGAGCATCATCGATAATATCTACTTTTTTTCACGCCGTTAGGCTGGATTTTGTTCGAGAAGAGTCAACGATACGCATAAAGCTTTCGGGAAGGAGTCCTCAATTCGCGCCAACGACGATTCCGTCGATTCTTTAATTAAGATAGTCGTGCCGACGCGGCTGGAAAAGTGTCGGAGCGATAAAGTGTCGGGGCGCATCAGCGCGGAATAATCGATCGTCTCTCACGCTTACCAGTCCCGCCGGTAATTAATTACAGCGCAAATGGTAATTTACGCGCCCCGCGGCAAATATATAAGCACGCTCCCCCCCACAATGCACACGGGGTGTATGTCTAAAACCATAAATTACGGCGCCAAGTTAAATCGCAAAATAAATAAATCGATAAATATATATATTATACCTCTTCCATCTCCTAACTGCTGTGTCGCCTATTGTCGTCTAAATGTCACTGCTGTATATTCCCGTCGCGAGGCGAAACGTCATAAGAACTTTACATTGACAGAAATATTTCACAAAGATTTATTTAGTACCGCGGATTGAGAAAAATTGTAGAAGAATTGTTCTAGTTCATAAACTTCAAGTAAACTCGTCTTCGCGATTAATCCCTCCCCAAGGATTAAAGTTTACAAGGGTTAACGACTATCACGCGGGAGATGTCGAGGACGACCCGCTTGTCGTTCTTCGCGAGTTAAAGTGCACTTATTGACCGCTCTTACAAGCAATCCCGCCCACGTCATCCCGGTAATCCCGGATCCGCTACGCAGAGTATATTCCGTGTACAAGCAGCGATTCTGCCGGAAGGACCTCCGAATCCCCGACGACCTGTCCTCTTAGTGTCATTCTCGCTCGAGAGATCAACCGAGGAGTTTTCGCGTAAAAAAAAAAGAGAAGAAAATGAACGAGGAAAGTGCGAGGTGGATAGAGACGGAGCAAACGTAAAAAAAAGAAATTCCTCGATCGTAATCGTCACTTCGTGCAGTTTTCGTCCTACGATTGTCATCGTCCCCCTTTCGCGACCTCGTTCCACCCGTCCGCTCGTGTCAGTCTGATCTTCGAAGCGTCGTAAAAATAGACACCCAGAGGACACTCGGGATGAGTCTCGTTAAACGCGGGGGAGGACTTAGAGATTGGCCGGACGGATCCGCGGATGAGATCGACGAAGGACGAAGTATAACGAAGGATAGCGCGCGAGCGAGGGGTCGTAAAGTCGCCTCTCTCCTGTTCGCCCTCCCCGCATATCGTAAGAGACAAAATGCATAGGAGAAACGGGACCACCCGTTGGGAATCGCGATCTCCTCACCTCGCGAATCTGTCATTCGCTACGATGTGACTCCTTCTCGGCGCCTAAATGACGAGTCGAACGTTTCGGAGAATTGCAGGATTGGATACAAGCAGCGATTCTGCCGGAAGGACCTCCGAATCCCCGACGACCTGTCCTCTTAGTGTCATTCTCGCTCGAGAGATCAACCGAGGATTTTTCGCGTAAAAAAAAAGAGAAGAAAATGAACGAGGAAAGTGCGAGGTGGATAGAGACGGAGCGAACGTAAAAAAAAAAGAAATTCCTCGATCGTAATCGTCGCTTCGTGCAGTTTTCGTCCTACGATTGTCATCGTCCCCCTTTCGCGACCTCGTTCCACCCGTCCGCTCGTGTCAGTCTGATCTTCGAAGCGTCGTAAAAATAGACACCCAGAGGACACTCGGGATGAGTCTCGTTAAACGCGGGGGAGGACTTAGAGATTGGCCGGACGGATCCGCGGATGAGATCGACGAAGGACGAAGTATAACGAAGGATAGCGCGCGAGCGAGGGGTCGTAAAGTCGCCTCTCTCCTGTTCGCCCTCCCCGCATATCGTAAGAGACAAAATGCATAGGAGAAACGGGACCACCCGTTGGGAATCGCGATCTCCTCACCTCGCGAATCTGTCATTCGCTACGATGTGACTCCTTCTCGGCGCCTAAATGACGAGTCGAACGTTTCGGAGAATTGCAGGATTGGATACGTTGTAAACTTTTACAACACACCTTCGGTAATGATCCTCGAAATTCAATGCTCCTCGGAACAACGAATTCTGACTCTGCCTGCATTTCAATGAAAATTTAAATGACACTTCTTGAATATAACTTTTTTTTATTGATTTGATAATGGAAAAGGCAGAAGATCTCAAATGCGTTCTACAAATACGCCAAAATTATGTCATCTCCAATTAAAGCGACAGGAAAAGTATAATTTTTCTTAAGATTCTTGTAGAGATTGTGAAAAATTATATTAGAAGGAATTAAAGACTGATTTGGCAAAAATCGTTGTGTTTTATTAGTTTATTAAAATTATTAATTGGGATTATTTTATATGTAATTGTTCTCGGCGCAAAAAAAAACAATGTATTGCGACAACGATATACATATGTATTGTTTATAAATTATAAATTTTAGTTTAAAAAACAGATCTAATAACGTACCTGCAACTTTTTTTTTATTTTTCTTTCTATATTTTTATTCTATCACAAATGTCGAGAGAGAGAATTTCTGTCTTTCATTAAATTATTTCGTATAAATATAGCTTGAAATGCGAAATAAATAATTTCTGTAACTTCAATATTAATTCTCATCTTTTTTTCTATGACAGTCTCTTAACAAAAATGGCGATCCCAGCGATATGCCATAAAAATTTCAATGTAATATCTCAAACATGATTCTGTCATGTTATCTCGCTAGTGCTTTATATTACAAAATATATTTTGATAAATGAAAAGCATACCCTAGAGAATGATTCTGTATATGTAAGTGTACTATGCTCATGTAATGCAGATTTAAGTAAATTGTATCAGAGAACTTGTTCATCTTATTGCACTTATGAAAATGGCAATCTATTATTAAAAAGAGTATGTAAAATCAATTGCCCAAAAGCATTAAAGTTTATCGTTTATTGCTAAGGCGTATAAAACAGAAAATTTGAGTTAAAAGGGTAGGCATAAATATTGCGAAATTATATTTTGTTTCTTAGAATGTATTTTGTATAGAAAATATATGTATATATACTGGGAGCTTTATAAGTTCTTTAATATTGGTTCTTTGATTGCAGCTGTGAAATCCGTTACCGGCGAGACACTGGAATTGACGGGGGTGCTTCGGCAAGAGATGGGCATGTACCTCTGTATAGCCAGCAACACCGTGCCGCCGACGGTCAGCAAGCGTTACTCCGTTGATGTTCACTGTAAGTATCATGTCGCGCTTGCGGCCGTTAATTAGCCGTCGTTCCATCGTCGTTGCATACATTAGCAGGTCAGTGCGCTCAAACATCATTCTGATTGCCTTCTGCTTTCGAAATTGCCTAACAGCGTTTGCGCTGTCATTCACGTATTCTAAAAACATACCCAAAAAATTTTAATTTTGGAAAAAACAAAAAATATTATTTCTACAAAATAAATTGTTAAAATTATGGATATCATAAGTATAGTGAAACGCTATTTTTGAATGAAAATCTAGATTTTGATGCTAAACAGATTACCATGTTAGAGGATTCTCTAGATTCGTCCCTGTACGTTACTGCATAATTATTCGCCCCTGTAACCATCCTTCACAAGTTTGCGTGTGACAGGATAGATGGATAAAGATGAGCGCGTTAATTAATTATTTAATGAAACAGGGTAACATATAATAATTACAATGCTATTGAAACAATTTATGATTAAATATACAATACTTTAAATTGACTTTTCTAATTTCTAAGCAAAAATTGTAAGTTACAGAGTCAAAATTTTCAAATTATTTTGTAATTTGGAATATTTATATAAATATTTTTTTTTAGAAACTTTTAAATTATATAGTTTGATTTTGATAAATTGATTTCATAATTTACATATAATCTCTGTATAATTAATGTAATTATAAATTTAAACGCAATATGTCAGTTTTATCTCGGTCGTATAAGCGCTCTTATCGATATAACGTACTTTAATTATTGGGGTGAGAATCATGTCGATTATTAATGCTTCTTCAATATCGGCGGTAAAACTATCATCCGGGCACTGTGGTTAAGGATATACCGATAGGCTTGAAATAGGAAATGAGGTTGAGTTAAACTTTGAAACATTTTTCAATATCTACGTTACATGGCAGAATTTTTATTCAGAAACTTTTCACTAAAAACCAACGTACCGACATTGTCGACACCAACAAAAATTATCATGTGATATATTAATATATACATTATTTGTCATAATTATGTATATATTAATAATTTTGATTATTTTTAATAATAATAATAATAATAATAATAATAATCTTTATTGTGCAACAAAATACATTATGTCGAAAACAACAAATGATTGATATTATAATTCGAAAAGCTTTTATTTTTATTTTTATAAGTTTTTTGCTTTGCTATATTATATCACGAACTTTTTTACATTTTTTTCAAACACCGAATAATAACATAATTATAAAAATATTTGTTTCAATTTTACAGAGTCCAAATTTTTATTACTAGAAAACCACGTCGTTGCAAAAAATAACAATAAAGTGTCAATAACATTCTCCTGGGAAATACAATCAAATTACCGGGAATACGCGTATACATTCGCAATGTTACGCCGCGCATATCGGAAGAATAAAAAATCACCGTGCAATTTGGCTAACGGCATTCGCAAATGAAAACTTTATCAACCCCCCGAAGTCCGTTGGCATAGGGCGTTTTTTCTCGCGCGCAAAACTTCCGGCCGCGCGCTACTGCAAAATTAACCAGCGGGCTTGACGATTTATCCACGTCGTCGCGGGGCGTGTAAATATTTGAGCGCAAAGGGTTTCGCATTAATTCGCTCTGCTTACGAAATGTAATATTAATCCACTGGCAGGGTAGTGGCGCACGGGCGCAAAATGCGGTGAAACTGGTTAATTCTTGAATGAGCAGCACGCGGTCCCCTTCGGAATGCAAAATGCACTTTTCATTTCACTTTTCTTATTTCGCTTATTTCATTTTCTGTTCTATATCATTTCCTTCCTTATAAATAATATAAGCTTTTTTCGCAAGATCACTATATGTAAATTTGTTTTTTTAATAGTTAAACACAGTTCTGTGATAGAACGCCGGCCTCTTTTCTTGGACTGCTGTATTTAAATTATCCAGTTGCTGACAATACTTCTCCGAATAATATATATACATATATATATATATATATGTGTATATAATATTAAAAATTATATATCATCATAAAATATTAATGTCTTTAATATTAAATTTAAAAATTTTACATTCGGATGTTGAAGCGTAAACAGACAGTTTGCAATGTATAATTTGAACGTTTAATAAATCAGTATACACTGCCACGTAAAAAATTGTCCCAATTGCGCTTAAGAGTTAAATGGAATATTTATGATTAGACATATTTTAAATAGACAATTTTTTATCAAACCATTATCAAACAGTCTATATTGTACGCTCATATGTCTGATCGTTTTTATGCCAGAAATCAAATCCTGTGGAAAATGTTTCTGCAAGTGGAAGAACCACGCACACACAATTAAAAGTAGCGCAATATTTCCGTTCGTTTTCTATTTAGGCGAGAAGCTGCTGCCCAGTGACAAATACAGAATGTCGGAGTGCGCGTTGAGCGAGTATTCCCGGCAAATGAATCTCACTGTCAATTCCCTGGAAAAACGGGACTTCGGCGGGTATGTGTGCTCGTCCGTCAACGCGCTTGGCAAGGCCGAGGGTTCAGTACGATTGCAAGGTATGGAGAATTCCGATATGATCGCAAAAAATATGTTTCCTCAGCTCTCGTCTCCAATATCCTGATTTTAATACAAGATGAGTGATGCGTCCGATAATAATATTTTACCTTATGTACACTATCATCTTGCGCATATGTGCATATACCGTTAAATTGATAACAGAAAAAAATTTTTTAATTATTTTTGATCAATTTTTTATTATTTATTAATTATTTTTAATTTTTTATTAATTATTTTCGATCAATTTTTTATCTCTTAATACGTTTCTCTAAAAATTTCAACTTTTAAATATTAGTGCACTACTTAAAATAAATAATTTTAAACGTTGTTGTGCAATATAACATTACACTCATTTCGTAGATATTTTGCTTTTTTATTGTTTAGAGCTGCAATTGTTCGCGAAGACGACACCGACGACTTTTATGAAGAATATGGATAAGTCGCGTAAGAAGACATTGCCGAAGAGCAAGAAAAAGAGCAACAATAGCAACGACAGACGAGGACAAGCGGTAGGTTTCGGCGAGGCTGATTCCATCGGTAGCGACGATGATTTCGGTACCACGCAGATCATGGCAGGTAGCACTCTTCAGGAGGGCCAGAGGACGGATAGGCCCCTTGCAGTGCCTTCCTTGCCGCCGCCCTGGGTCATCCATTTGAACGCCGCGAATTTCAGGCATTCTTCGGTGTCCGCGATTCTGCTTTTGCTTCTTTTGCCGACTACTCTATAAGATGGCATCGGTGACAGGGATAAAGGATTACAATATAGAATCGGCGATTATGAAGATCCACGAACTAAATCTCGAGAATCGATAAATTTAGAAGACTTTGATTTTTCCCACGACACAGGTAAAAAAAATTAACATTTCACGAGTCATAACGTTGATAAATTTCTGCGTATTGTGCGTTGAAGACTTGGAAACTTTTTTATGTATTAAGATCAATGCGTGCAGATTTCTAATTTTATTATGAATTTCTGAAATATTTTTTTGTTTGAATTTTGTTGCTAAAAACTTTTTATTTATCCAGTATTTGTCTAATTTTGAACGTATCTGCTAAGATAAGTCGGATATTAAATAACCCAATAATAATTAAAAGATATTGTTATATATTTATATCGTATATAATTGTATAATCTTTTTACAATTTATATATATATTGGGATATCCATATATTTTTTTCTAGATCAAAGTCAATCTTGAGATATTTAATGCTGCAGCATAGCTGCATTGTACGGAAAACGATTACCTCCACGGTTAATCATGGACAAAATTTGCTCTTAAAGCTTGTCAGAATATATTTAAAGGAAATAATCGTTATAGAGGAATCTCTGAATATTACAGACTCTTCTTCTTTAATCAATATTTGATGTACTTTACGTTTTTTGCGATGTCAAAATGCTTTCTCGGATTACGCGCTCCGCTCTAAGTATCGATCGCGAAATCCAATACCTTTGGAAAGTAGAAAACCAATCTTTTTAAGAGGAGAAAAGCCTGATTCCGACGGAATCTGACATCGACTGGCTAGTTGTTATCTTCATTACCTCTTATCGTCTATATAAATGCCCTGCTAGCTTCTATCTTTTAATCACAATTTCAAGGTAAACATTATAAATTTGCCGTGCGCCTTTGTTCCAAGAATCTGATATCTTTGTAAAAGATTGCAGTTTACAAAAACTTTGATCAAGGTTCGCTAAATATATTGGAACGCATACGAAAAATATTATTTTTTATAAAAGAAAATAATTTCAATCAGGGGTCAATGCTCGCGCGACATCGTATTTAATTACTTGTTCATCAAGAGAATTTATATCTCGCGATAAGTATCTTTGGACACCATTTGCGTACGAAGCTATTATGGATGCAAAATGGAGATTAATGAATGAACTTAGAAAAGCAAACAAAGGAGTCAGTTAGGAATCCCTCGTGGATCTTCATTAGTCGTCTAAAAGTAACGCAAAGGGACGCGCCGTGCGTACACGACAATCCTATCTAGGCAGGTCAGTCCCTCTGGCGTTGATTGTAAATATGAATGAAGAACGAGAGTAAATTCGAATAGAGAGAATATACAGAAAAGAGAGAATGGCTCTTTTCCCGAATCATTTAAATGGTCCTCGTGAAGGTGCTTCAAAAAAATATTATTTAACAAATGAATCTGCTTGATGTATTAATATTTTTTCAACTATAATTATATTAGATAAGCACACAATTATTCGAAAATATAATTAATTAAATGCACAAAGAGATAAATATATTAAAGTTTTACAAATTCAAAGAGAGAACTTTATCATATTAAGTTTCATTTTTATTTTATGTTTATATATTGAAAATTCTATATAAACTGACGAAATCAAATGCAAGCTTTTTTCCAAAAGTGTTTCCGTAGCATTGTTCGAGGATTTGAGGCTCGTGATGGGAATAGAGTCAAGAAGATAGAGCGGAGGGTGCAAATCCACGCTGAAAAAAAAAAAGAAATAGGTCTTCCCATTATTCGATATAACAAGGACTTTTAAATACGATCAGATGTAGTCACTGCGGCGCGACACTATAGACATAATACCCAGACAGCACAAAACGTCTACGCTCACAATGCTTTGTTAGTGAAGACCAGATAGAAAAGAAGAGAAAATGAGACTTAAAAAGAGTATATATAGACCGAGCTGGTCCTACGCTCACAATGCTTTGTTAGTGAAGACCAGATAGAAAAGAAGAGAAAATGAGACTTAAAAAGAGAGAAAGAATCAGAAAAGGATTTTGTCTCTCTCATTCGTGCCTGTGCAATTTTTGTTAGAAAGAGATGGAATTCTTTTTCGAGATTCTTTATTTTATCTTTCTTATTTTCTCTTTATTCAAGCTATATCATCAATGCTCGGTCTATATAACTATATCTGAGTATGCGACCAAAAAGACAATGACAAAACTTTTGACAGAGTCTGTGTAAATATACTCGACGCGGTGTCAGTGCGATATTCGGCTGACACGTATGAGTTAGAGAGACACTCTCTATCTCTCTTTCTCTTTCTCTCTTGTTTAAACGTAACCGGCGATTAATCGGACTGTAGGTAAAATATAGGTCAAGCAAGTTCGTGCATCACGCTCTTTCCGGAAACACAGCAAACACGGAAAAAAACAACGTTGAAATGCAAATATGTGAAACTACGAGATGAGTTCTCTGTGCTATTCACATTCACATGTCGCAGGAGTTCGTGATTAAATTGACTTATAAATTGGCAAAAGTTCTATCTTTCTCCAAAAATGTTTCCATAACATTGTTTGAAGATTTGATGCTCGTGATGAAAATAAAGTTTAACAATTGTTCTATGTAAAAAGCTAAATATACAAATAAACAAATCAGTAGATATACAAGTCGAAGAATGATATATCCTGTTGTCTTTGTTTTTGAATGTTATTTTTGTAAGAGACATTAATTTTATTTTTAATTGTAAATTATTTAATGAGAAGTATTGCATAGAAGCTATCGAAACGCGAAGTCTACACGATGCACGAACTTTCTGATTCGATCTTAACAGTTCTTGCGAATCAATGTTCATATTCTTGTCGCTTAGAGTTAAAAATATACGGGTTGTAATTGACAAATATTTCAGGATATAAGTTGTTTCTTTTACACTATTGCAAAAGAAAATATAACTGACAATGAGACGAGCGTTTACTATCGGATTAATATAAATTTTAATCTTCTGAATTTTTTAGATTTTGCTATATGAACATTAACAATGTCATTAGGATGAAAGCTAAAAAAACCTGAGCCACATTTTCAACAAATGTCAAGTAAGCTCCACTTTGTTATTTTCTTCATATTTCGTCGATTCTTCATATTTTATATTACATTTATAAAAACAAAGATTTCCTTGTTTTATATAAATAGTAGAACGGAAGTTTATGAGCTTTTCTAATCGAATAGCTCGAAATGCGATAATACGAGCTAATTAGTTTACTTGAAATATTTCACCGTAAAATCTCCTATGAGAATTATTATATATATATAGTTTATTATAAAAAAATAGGAATATATATATATATATATATATGTTCCTATTTTTTTATAATAAACTATCTATTTTATTAGTTATCATTGCTGCGAGATATGTTGAATGCATCTCGATATAAAATATAGAGAATCGATAATGAAAAAAGTTTTTTTCAAATAAAAAGATGATGAGACTCTCATTCGAGATTCACTCAGGCTCCTGATTCCTATTTCGCTAGCAATCGTTTTGCAACCCCGTTTCGCGTCTTCCACGATACTTTTTTATCTTTCATCTGTCGCGATCACGACACTGCCAGGTTAAATGTGCGCTTGACTATCGCAAATTGACGCGGGTTAATTCGGTCGGTGCACTTTTACGGTTAAATGAGTCGACGTATACTGTAATTCGTACGCAGAGAACGGAGAGCACGACAATAAATACGGTATAGTAAAGTCTCGTCAAATCGAACGTTCATTCGGCTTAAAAGCTCGCTAGAAAAGGCTGATCTTTCCCCCTATTCCTTTTATTATTTCTTTTAGGAAATATTCCGCCGCGAGATTTTTCACGAAACTCGCAGATTATTAACTTTAATTACGTTTAATGAGATATAAGTGATGTTTTATTATCACAGTTATTCATTTAATAACTGGGATTTATGGATTGATATAATAATATATGCCAATACTATATTATTAGAGGTATACAATGTATTGTTTTATCTCATTCCTTTGCGTTAATACCTTATTGCAATATATTCCACATAAATTTGCATAGCAATTATGATGGTGATTTGCAAAAATCCGGCGAGTTTTTAAGTACATCACAGACTGCTTGGCGTACTCCACATAATATATGCAGGATATATAAAAAATTACGCATCTCTTTTTTTCATATTGTAGTTACAAAGTGCTTGAGAAAGATGAAAAAAATTTGTTAAAATAAACTGAATTTGAAATTAATTGAAGAAAATATAATATATTTTACATTATCTGTTTTTACCTTTAAAATTTCAATTTGTCAAAACATTTCATCCTTAAATACGGTATTGGAATAAACATTTTTTTCAACTTACTATTTATGTATTATCGAAGGAAAGCGCAGTTTTTTATATATTCTATATATGAAATATATACATAATGTACATTTCGTATATATAATATACAGAAATCTCATTAGGCAAAAATCATTGAATATCCTATAACCGTAAGATATGCTACTACAAAAATGCGGAGAATTTATCGGCGTTAAGTATGAACAAAAAAATACATATACGCAGCAACGAGACATATGAATCATATAGGACCACGTTTAATGTATGTACATAAGCTCGTATATTACATATTAACGAATACATATGTAAGTGTAAATAACACAGAAGATATGTGAACATTCAGATTTTTTCGAGGTAAGCGTTTAGGACTCGTTCGATTCGATGTATCCTCAAACGAGGGTAGATTTTGTAATAATGTGACATAGAAGATGGATTCGCGATTGTAACATAATGAACATGGAAGAGAAATACTGTCTATACGCACGATACGTATCTACACACATATATACAGTTATATATACATATATATTACATAAGATATTATATATTACACATATAAATATATTATATATATTACATATAAATGTCAATCTGGCTCGTTCGTTAGAATTCAGACAACGATAATTCGACCGGATGCTTTTGTCCAACTGTTAAAATTTCGGGAAACATCAATAGCTTTTGTTTGTGATTTCTATCACAAAGGAAAGATTGGCAATCACAAAATCTCTTGTTACTTTTATAAAAATTTATTTATATAAATTAATTCAATTTATTTATTCATATAAATTTCCTATTCAACTTCTAATTTTTATAGAAAATATATGAAAATCTGATAAAATAAAAATTTATTCAGAAATATTCGTTATATAATTTCAGATTTTACAGTTTTATCATAAAAAACATCTGAAATTAAAGTTATTTTTTTACATTTGCTATTTTCGAAAATATAAAATATGTAAAATAAAATCGACAATTGCTTTCTTTGAATTTTTGTATTTAATCAAATTTTACTTAGCTTCATCAGAAACATTTTTTAAATTTTATATTCATTAAACTTTCTCATATTTATACTGCCATGATTTATATTCATAGTTCATTATATGTCTTTTCTTTTTTTTTTTGATCCCATTGCTCTTTTTTATATCAGATCCTCATATATTCTCTACGAAAATTAAAAGTCGAATATATAACCAGTAAGTGACAAAAAGTTGCTGACCCTGTCATCATCATTACCTATTCCATATACATCATGGCAATCTAATTGCTAATTTTTAATGAGTACAGAGACAGGGTAGAGTTGCGAGAATCTAAAACTGCAAATATGCGAAATCTGGAATAAAAACATACCAAGTATCTCTATATTGATTGATTAAATATTTTTTCCTAAAAAAAATAAATAATGATCGCAAGCTTTTCGCCTCAATTGTATATTTAGCACTTTGAATTTGATATTCCAACATTTTTCATTGGATCTGTTATTTTAATTTGCAATTTAAATGGCAAAAGTTCATTTCAAAAAAATAGTTTTAATCGTTCTTATAACAATATTAAAATTTAAAACCCAAAAACTTCTCTATTTTATTTCGAAAACTTGAATTTTTTTCATTAAAATATCTATATTAATGAAAATTTAATTAAAATTATTATGTCTTTTGTTCTATTCTATATTAAGATACAAATTTATATAAACGTTCTAAAATAACAAATAGCTCGTGTAAACGATGAGGGATACAAAACTTCACAAGAGAACTGAAAGTCGATCCGTTTAGATTTCACTGCCTAAATCCGCCTCTGATTTCCGACGAACGAAATGTTAATGGTGTGTTGGTTAAACGGGAATCTATCCACATGTTGAAAAGTTATTTAAGAAAGCTTGTTTTCGCGGAAAATTAACAATTTCTAAGTGAATGGTTATTCCATCTATGCGATTTAATCCCGCCGACTGCGACCGCGCAATGTTAAATTATAGTAATAATTCCGACACATGTCTAAGTTTGAATTACAAGTTTGAGAATGTCCGAACTTTAGTCCGAGTGGTGTAATTGAATATATCATGCGAAAATAATGCGATTTCTAAGAAAACATGCAATTGTTTATACAATTGTTGGAAATCAAAATTTAGATGTCATATATATATTAATATGTGACGCGTGCGAAAAGTATCATAAAATATAAATATTAAATATATGTAAAATATAATATGTATCGCATAAAGAGAATATTGCTTACTAATTAATTATAAAACTGATTAAGTTATGCCATACAAATATCGAATAATGTTTTCGATATTTTTAAATTCACGGTACTTTGTATATAGATTGCACTACTATGTATAAAAAATTCTTAAAGGAATATCCGATTTTTATTACTCCGTTTAGTCTTTCAGATTTTCATCCTTGGAATTTCACGACTCAAAAGCGACATTCTTATAACTTGTAATTCAATATCGATACGTAATTTCGCGTTTACGATTATTATTATATGCTGTGGCCATCTCTATGAAAAAAATTCGAGACAACGTATAATATTTTTCATAAAGAAATTCTTTTAAAAATTAAGAAGGAAGCTCTCTAATGAAGCATTCCCCTGTAATTTTATTCCAAGTATGACAAAGAAAAGTTTATGCAATCAGTTCTGAGCAATGAGATTATACACAGCAATAATAGTAAATAACTTGTGTCTGCGTCGTTATTCAATGAACACGATGCTGTTTCTTTTGTAAATTAATACTGTGAATACCTTTTGCCTTCGACGGAATAAAAAATAATGGGAGTAATAATTAGTATACAGTTTGAAACGAGATATATCGCGACTATCCATAGAACGAATTACGATAGGGAATGAGCATGATGTACGATACTATTAACCTCAGACAATAAAATGTTATTATCGATGTTACCCTATTATTTGTATACGTTTCTTACGTACCTTATACAGCATGGAAATGAGCTTAACATCAACAATTGAATAAATATTACCTCTATCAATGCACGAATTTTTTCGTATAGTAATTGTAAATATTAAGTAAATAATAAATAATACGGAAGCTTACACAGGAAAGGAACTTATGACATTTTTTTATTTTTCTTTTTTTTTCATATAAAAAATTATTCTATATTTTCATTTTGCTTAGTCACATGCGTCACACGTCTACGTTTAATAGCTTTCATTCGTTCCAAGCTCTCATTTTTCTCCTTCTCAAGAATTTCCTTCAATTTTTCAAGATGATTCTGATAGTTGAGCGCGTTCGCCGTGGTACTCAATTCCATTTGTTCGATATTAGGCACGATTTTATGTGCGCCACTCAACATTTGCTTAAATATCCCGACTTGATTCGGTGTGAGCACGGATACTGCAATGCCCGGTTTACCCGCCCGCCCAGTTCTACCAGCTCTGTGTATATAGCCTTTGATGTGCTTCGGAACATCGTAAGATACGACTAGTTGTACATCCGGAATGTCCAAACCTCTAGCCAGCGCGTTTGAGCTTATTAATCTAATCGGATAATCAAGATTAATCAAATTATTAAAGCTAAATTATTTCTTTCTTTACTTTGACAAAAAATACATAATTTATCTTTATTATTTTATTTTCTTAGAAAAAAGAAAATGAGAATTAAAAATTAAATCATTATCTCAAAACGGAAAAAATTGTGTTTTATAAAATTAGAATTATTTTACCTTGACAAAATGTAAAACTTACATATGTATCTCTGCGCTTGCGAATTTGCCAAGGACACTTTCGCGTTGTTTCGACGCGAGCTGTGCGGATAATTCTCCGACCGCGACATTCCGTTCCGACAAGAGTGATCGCATCAAGAGCGCCAGTCTGTGCGCGGTATGTCCGGAATTCGTGAAAACGAGAGTCTTGGAAATGGTATTGTGCCTCGTCAACAGCTGATACAGGGCAACTGGTTTGTATTCGGCGGTGCATTCCACCGCAAGTTCCCTCAGTTCTCCCGGACTCGTGTAACGTCCGATGAAATCACCCGCAATCTTGTCCAAATTTACATCTGTGTCTTGGTCGGTCACAACGGTCGTGAATAGTATTGGCTGAAATAAGCCTAACCAGCTCAATTTTTCAGGATCTTGCGACAAGGTTGCGCTAAATAATAGTTTTTGAGCTGGTATGATTTTGCTGTTAAAAAATTAATGAATTCATATAAGTGATTAGTAGACATACTTAAATTAATAAATTAATATAAATGACTAATAGACACATACAAAATAATCGTTATATTGTGTCTTCAAACTTAAAAATTGTTCCCATATGAGAGAATATAATATACAAATATATTTTTTAAATTTTCCTACTAAAAAATTAACCTGGAATGTATATTTCCGAGCGTTAAAATAGGAACCCGAAAGTGAGGTTCAGGTAAATACTGTATCCATTCCGCTGCGCGATCGGCTTCATCGATGACGAGAAATCTTAAAGAATCGAAGGAAAATCCGGGTGTCTTTAATATATGATCCACCAAACGGCCAGGCGTCGCGATTATAATATCCACCGTAGATAAATACTTTCCTCTTTCAGCTGCATATAAATATTTTTTTGCTAAGTTTTTATATATGAAATTAAATCATTATAGAGGCATTAAAGATAAATACATACTTTTCTTAATTATACTATTTTGCTCTTGTTCAAACGAGAAGGCACCCGAAAGCAGGCCCACTTTTAAATTTGTGTGAGATGTATAAGTGACCATTACTTTATGAACCTGTGCAGCCAATTCTTGTACTGGTAGAACAATTAAACAGCGTATCTTTGGTACCAATCGTGTTTGTAATTCCTGTACAATTGGCAATACATAGGCCAGGGTTTTGCCTGTAATAAAATTTAATGTGAAAGAAATAATATTAAAAACAAAAGAAAAAGATGTACATTTTATCATTTCAATAAGATCACATATTATACAAAATTATTATAATTACTAATGGTTGTTGGATATTATGGATATTGTTGGATATTGGATATTTACCACTGCCTGTAGGAGCAGATACACAAGTATATCTCAACCATCGCCCTAATTTCCTATCCATGTTGCACTTGTATAACCATTTTATGATGCTAGATTGAACCGGAAATAATTTAACAATGCCATTAGCCCTTAAGACTTCTATCAATTTAGCATCCAAAACTGAATTTAATTCTTCCAAACTAGGTCCGCTATTCAGATCAGCACATATAACTTCCGGATGTGCCAGCCAGTCTGGCAATACTCTCTTAACTTCACGTTGCTTTTTTCGAGATTTTGTACCTAACACTACAAAATCATTCTGCAGAGGTATTTCTTTTTTTGTAGTATGTGCAGTATTTGGATTTTCTTCTTCTCCATTTACTGGATTTTTATCCTTTTCTTCTAATTCCTCATTTTGTGCTATAAAATGCTCGCTCTCAATATCTTTCTTCTTTCTTTTCTTTTTTGTCGATGTTTTGACCGTTTCTGTAGTTTGTTCACTGACTTTTTCATTGCAATCACTTTTGTCAATATTTGAATCATTAGTTTCGTCCGTATTAAGCAGAGTTTTCTTTTTCTTATCTTTTTTCTTTTTCTTATCTTCAGTTAAATTGTTTTGATCCAGATCTAGTATGGATTTATTATTTGCTGCAGCTCTTTGTCTTTTACGCTCTTCTATTTTCTTCAACAATTCAGAAAAATGATCTGTTGCATTCTCATCTTCCTCTCTATTTTCATCATATCTAAATAAAAAAAATATATATATGCATTAAATAAAAATTAATAAATAATTTATAGAATAGGTTTTCATTGTTTAATAAGCATTATGTTATTTACCTATTTATAACAAACAAACTCATCTTCCTTTTAAATTCAATTTATCTATTTCTCAATAACAATTAATAATTATGCTTGTATATATTTAATATCCTTAAAATACAAAATATACTTTTACTGATGAGCAGTAAGAATTAATCGCATTATGCACACATATATTACATATTACACATGATTACAGGGTTACACGTTACACATGACTTTAATATAAGGTTAACTCATGTCGTATTACTGCCATCATGTTTTTACGGTAAATGGAGACACTATCACTATCTAACATTTTTCACTCTATCGATAAAATAGTACAAATAAATGTGTAAACTTTGCTAGCTTTTTTTCTCTCTCTGCTGTAAATTCTTATTTTTATCAGTACATAATATAATCTATAAAAAATATATTTTCTTTATACGAGAAACATGATTTTCTGTAAAATTCCAGCAATCCTTAAAAGTTATTTGATCAAAGCCTAAATAAAAAAAATTCGAAACAAAAATCGATTCTCTCATATATTTGTATGAAATCAATATGCATGATTATATAAAGTCCCGCTTATTAAAAATCTTATTTGCGATATGGTGGGATGTTCCGTTAATCTTAGCATAGTTGCTGGAAGGAAAGTTGGAGTTGCCACGAAATTTTTTGTCGCTTCAGAAAAAGAGAAGCCGCACTGTGTGCGTTTATCGTGCGGAGATATTCCAATGAGCAAACAATATTTTTGACGTTTTTAAGAATTTTTGAAAAACATTTTTATAAACATTAAAATAATGGGTCGAATCCCCTTTTAATATTAAAAAAATTTTTAACATTTGCTATTTCAAACAAATATTTCATGTAAAATAAATAATTATAATAAACTAAATTAAAAAATAAATATTATTTTTACAATCAATTGTACAACGTACAATTAATGAACAATATATAAATATTAAAAATATATTTAAAAAATATTGTCTGCTCATTTACAAAGAAAAAAACATGTCGGACTGGTTTTGTCAAGCGATCGTGCCTTTTTTCCATGGTCTAATATATATTTGTCGCTATTTTTTCTGTCTCATGCCTCGCACGATGAATTGCGTTCCGTTTATTATCAGTTGCGTTATTAAACGATTATTACACTGCTAGCATTTCGCGTGCAAAAATCTCGCGTTCCTCTCGGTCGGGATAACTACTTCGTCGCGTCGTGCGCGATGATCTATCAATAATTTAATCGCACAAAGCGTAACATGTGCAGCGCGAAATAGTGATGAGCACGTGTATCACGGAATCGCACTACACTTGATTACGTGTAAAGGCCATTTGTTAAAAAACTCGATTTCCTTTAAGATATTTTAATAAAAATATTCGATTGACACGATATATGTATATACAAAATAATTTCCTGTCTTTATTTTAAGATCTTGTTTAAAATTTTGAAACTGCATATACAGTTTAATACTAAAAACATGTAAATTTTATTTTTTACATTGTTTTCATTAATAAAAATATATTCGGCATATATGAAAGTATAAGATAAATCTCTTATTTCTACAAAACATCTTTATATTGAAAAGAAAAAAAAGAAATAACGTTTTTCTTCTTTTCTTTTATTTTATCTTGTTTATGCCGATAATTGAAAGATATAGGTATCTTTTTTCGCAGATAGAAAGTTATCCAAATGGAAGCAGCAGCGCTGTATATATAGATATATGACACATGACACGATACATATAATACGCAATAACGGTATAACGCTACGCTGTTAAAGTAAAATAGCGTCGCGAGCGCGCTTACATTCTACGCAACTATTTTTTTTACAGCCGTAATTAGGAAACTCTATGTATCTTATATCCTCTCAACACATGACGAATAAATAAACGACAGCTGAAGAGCCGAACAGGAAATCGTAGCGCGAACGCCGCATCTCGCGTCACGGTAGGCAACATCCTGACGTTTCGTCGGATTCACAATTGATAGCCTGCAATCGTGGGACGAGTGTGATAGCGTACCGCGATAGGTAACGCGAAGTCTCGGAGTTTTTCTTTGTGCATCGCGAGGAACCTCGTCCGCCGTTCGTCTGCACGGTTCTAGTAACTAAGAGAACGGTGAGTCCTCCCTGTTTTGGTTAGGAACCTCGGAAAAGCGCGACACCGGTGTTTACTAGTCGCTAAGATCCGAGATTCGCTTTCTCTCTTTTATGTCACGCGTCGCCTTTGTATGAGGTATTTATGTAACAGGCACTTTTCATCGAAAATAATTCTGAACGGTTCTGTCTTGGAGTATTCGTCACGTATTAAGGTGACATTGATACGATATAGGCTCGAGTACCTAGTATGTATATTGCCATATATTGTCAAGATGTGTGTGTAAATGCACCGTGTAACTATAATAAGAGTAGCATCATTACGCCGATTTCGATATTTGTTTCTTTGTTGAGTCAGTAAGACAGTTTGTATTTTTGTTAAATATTACCTATTTTTGCAGATTGAAACATGGTAGTGCTTAGCAACTTCTTACCACCACAAGAAGGGATACGTCATGAAGAACCGAACACTACAGTATATATCAATGACAGAGAAGTAGGCAAGGGTACATTCTATATCACAGAAAGGTAGTGAATCTACTCCAGTTTGCACTTTTAAGTTATCCATATGCACAATATCCTATGTCTTCTCTAATCATGTGTTTTTATTGGTAGTGTGGTTTCTTGGATGGACAATAACACACAACAAGGATTTTCGCTGGAATATCCTGATATTTCATTGCATGCTGTTTCACGAGAACAACTTCGTCCACGACAGTGTTTATATATTATGGTTGATGCCAAAGTAGACCTCCCAGGTATTATTATAATATTATACATTTACTGTTGTAGATGTGATGTTTGATAAATTTAATATCATGAATGTACTTGTATATCTCTTATTTGTGCAGATATGCCATTAGTATTATCATCTGAAAATGCTTCGGAAAACGAGGATGGTGATGCGGACACTTCAATTACAGAAGTGCAATTTGTGCCGGATAATACAAATAATTTAGATTTAATGTTTCAAGCGATGACTGAGTGTCAAGCACTTCACCCTGACCCTGACATGAGCAGCTTCTCAGATGGTAAGCAATCAAACAAGATAACGAATTAATTTCTGATTACTTGCAATATAAAAATTTCTCAAATCGAAGAGGACGATATCTATGAAGATGCCGAGGAAGACAATGAAGGCGAATATGATGAGGAAGTAGGCGCTGGCGACGCGCCTTGTAGCTCGCCAGGTAATTTATATAGATTTAATCTTCAAAAAATTAGACTGTGCTTGGATTATTTATTTAAATGTGATTGTGTATATAATTTTCATCTATTTGATGACGTCGAAAACAAAAATCATGAATGACATTCACAGAATTAAATAATTAAATTTTAAAGATGTGTTAGAGTTGATATATCTAATAGTATATACATAAAATTGAATTTCTCATTGTCATAATAGAACAAATGGGGACCAATTATACAGGAACGGAGGTGGAAGAAGCTATGGACATTGAAGCGGGTCAATTCGAAGACGCAGAAGAAGATCTTTAAGATCATTAGATGCAGATGTGCATTTAGTGTTAATTTACACGCGTTTATCAATTTCATATGTGTATTCGGTAGATATACGTGACGTCGTTATTGCAAAACTTACTATGGAGCCGTATCAAACGTTAAAGCACCTAAACATTTATTTATATTCATTTTGTACATGGCGATAATTTCCTAGATAAAAATAAATAATTGTACATCGCAATATTCAATTCTTTATACGATTTCTTTTAATAGAAAGTTTTTTATCTGTAGGGGAAAAAAGAGAATATTTTCTTTTCCAAATATGGTATAGAATCAAAAGATAACATAGAGAAGTATATATAAATTGATCGTATATTCTATCACAACATAGCTTTCGTTGATAGACATAAAATAACGATGAATTATAAGTTTATAAAAATGTCTAATAATATTTTCGCGTCACAGCAAGTTATATGATTAATGATACTTATCAACGTACACCTCGTTGCATTAAAAGTGCATTTACATGGTACAGTAAACTCTATGTTTGTAATCGAAAATCGGCAGTGTGTTGTAACAGTCCATATTGATTTTTTTTTTATACATGTATTTCAGCCAGGAGAATAAATTTTATATATTTGTATATTATAAGTTAGTTAGCTAACTTAATGAGTGCTTACTGTACCAGTGGTTTATGATTCTTTTCGTTTAAATGCACTACGCGTTATTTATACATATAATACATTCGAATCAAAATTCTGACTCATTCGGTACACTACAACATTCATTCTCGAAGAAATTCTGACGTACTATAGTAAAAAAAATGATAACACTAACTATAATTAAACAGGTTCGAATTGTAAAGTAATCATTTCATAGATGTACTGTCTATTTTTCAATCCTTAGAGAGAATTTTTCAAAAATTCGGCTTCGAATTTAAGAGTTTTTAATCGATTTTATCGAATTTTCTTCGGTCCGAAAATTAGATCGGCATCGGGGGCTCCTTTAGGATGATTATACTTTTGTCGTCGTTCTCTATTCAGGTTCACGGTGACCGGTCTGGTGCTTTGATTCATAGTCTCCTGGTAGTCTTCCTCCTCTTGTCTCTCGGTAATGTTCAAGGTCAGTCTTTTCACGCGCTCCTTCTCTTCTTTCTGTTCTTGTTCGCGATTCCTAAGATTCATGGCCAACTCTGATGATACTGGAACCGCCAGATTCTTGTATTGTTGCTTATTACCCTTTCTCAACATTAGCACAAAATCCACTGTGTTGTTGTCAGTTGGTCTTTCCTGTAGCTGCTCGTATGTTTTCTTTGTGCTCTTTACATGCAACGGCACAGAGATATCGACCTGTTGCGGTTTTACCGAATCTCGCATTCTATCTTGTATATTATCCGATACCATTTTATCCAGCGCGGACAGAAAGTCATCGTCCTCCGGACAACTCACGCGTCGCGGTCCAGCTGGCAAAGCTGCATTCAGTTCTTCCGTCACGTCCATAATTACGCCTTCGGTACCACCCTCTGCCGACAGACTCTGAGACCGATCACCCTGAGTGTTCTCTTGGGTGCCCATAGCATCGTCCCGCTCCGCGTCAGCCGTCCATTCCTCTTCCGACTGCGCCTCCGAACAATCCTCGGACTCTTCAAAGTGCAGCTCGGCCATACCTTTCGCGTCCCCGCTACCGTTTCCGATCGCTGTTGCTTCTTCATCACCTTCCATGATAACGCTCATGTCATTCTCGCCTTCCGCAGGGATGTCATCAACGGGAGGATTACCCAAACTTGGGTATAAAGAGTTTCGCAATTCTTCTATGGCACATTGCGCCTCTTTATAATTTTGGAACAATTGCATTTTGGGCCGTAGCATCGTTAATGTATCGCGATACATGTAGTCTATCCCGACGGGGAATGGATTTTCGGGCGTCCAGACGGGATCTGTATACTTGAACCAGAAGTAATTTTGGAAAAATACCAGAAAATAATCAAGCTTCTTCTTGCTGGAGCCACCGCTGAAATATTGGCCACAAGTCTCTAATAACGTACATACCAAACGAATGCGAAACAGATGATCGGATGGATCAAGTATGCTCGGTGACGAGTGGTCCACGCTGACGCCAAAGGTGATCAGTAAATATAAAGTACGGAAAATGTCGCCACTTTCTACCATTCGGTAATTGTACAGTTCGCCCAAGTATTTGACCATAGCAATGCGTCGTTGGTTATATTTAGGCAAGTTTATTTCCATACACAGTCGTATATCCTCAAGTACACCATCGACTACCTGAGGCCCTATGGTCTCATAATGGGCCACTAAGCCGGCCAACAAACTGCCCACGCAACGAATATTGGGATACTTAACATTGTAAGCGGCAGTCAGGCATTTTACGGCATATGTCGATATGTTCTCATCTTCCCAGTCAAGTTTACGCATCCATTTGAGCACCTTATCCGTATTCGTCTTGGATAAATCCTGATATAGCAATTTCCTGATGAATTCGTGCACAGGCGGTCTATCTTTCTTTGCGACGCCGCCAGTCGACTCGGGTGGATTCACGAAATAATATGCATTTTCGATAATCGTGACATAGCGTGAGTCAAGTGCAGTAACTGCTTTTTTACGCATCATCTGTTCCAGGTAGACTTTGGTTCTCTGATGAGAGTCCGGCGAGCAGAAGAGATATCGACCGCAGATCTCCAACAGATTGCAGACCATCTCGATGTGATGATGCGTAAAATCGTGCAACAATACCTTCAAGCAGTAGAGTGCTTCTATCTTCGAATAGAGCTTAAATTTGACGAGCTCGCCAATGTAGCGGACCACCTTGATCTTCGACTCGATGTTGATCTGATCCTTCTTATGGACGTGGTACTTGAAATCTTGCTTTAGCATTTGGCATAGATCGTTGCCGATTTCTGGCATTACCGGATGGAGAATGGCTGCCAAGCGAGAGTAGAAGGGTAGCAGATCTTGACGAATCCTAGAAACACCAAAAAGAGCCTTTACTAGTTTTTTCTTGTTGTGTTTCGTGTTAAGGTTCATCAGAAAGTTCACAGCAGCGTTGTCGATCATCTCCCGATTGACGCAGTTCGGCAGATGCGTCAAGAAAGCATCTAATAATATCTTATTGCTCGTATTGGACACTTGCGGTTCCTCCACTTCTGGTTCCGGTGGCTCCTCGATTTTCTCAGCTTCCTCTAACTCATCAAAGACTATCTCTTCGTCAAGAGCATCCTCCGTTATCGATACATCTGTCTTTGATGCTTCTTTCGGCGTCTCCTTCAAATACGAACCTGGCAGAAAAACCGTCAAGTCTGGTAATACTTCATAGAAACGTCTCGTTTCCTCATCACCCCACATATCTTCCAAGATAGTATTATCTTCTCCCTCATTAATCATCTTTAACGTTTCTTCTGATTCGGTCTTCATCTCATTGTCCACCGGAAGTTCGAGCATCGGCTCATCCAGCGTATCAGAAAAGCTCTGTACACTAGTTAACAAACGTTCATAAGAGACTTGGAGAGCCTCTAATTTTTCCTTTCTCTCTAAACTCAGTTCACCTCTAGTCTGCAATATTTTGCGATTCTGCTTTTCAAACGCCTGCAATTCCTTGTGTTCCTTCAACAAATGCTTGCATAAAGAGTTGTAATAGTCCCGTAGTAACAATTTAACGTTCTGTTGCTTGTCTGGCGACAAAAGTTTGCTCTTTGGAATCGGAACATTTAGTTTCTCGGATAGTTCTCGTACCTTCTTTGGTACAAGACCAGCATAATCCTCACCACAGTGTCGGCAGAAGCTCAATATTATGCTGGCATTATTATGCTCCTCCTTATCCATATTGATCAACACTGTCAGTACTGAGCCTAGCAGTGACAAACCCTGCTTGTGTGTGAATATCCCAGCATTTACCAGTTCTGCATAGAATCGAAGATCTACCCTCAACTTGCTGGGATTCGAGATTTTATCATTAATCTTTAATGACAATATCCTTTGCCAGTTTTCGAAAAAATGAGTGGAAAACTCAGCATATGTCTGATGAAGAAAACTGCATACTCTAATGGCTGGTGCAACGTCGGTCATCTTTAATTTGGCATCCACTAAAGCGGTAGCAACCTCGCTCACATATTTGGTCAAGTTTAAATTTGCCATGTCTTTTAAAACAGTATCGAGTTGAGTCATGCTAAAGTTCTTCAATTTCTTGACAAATGTGGTGTTTCTCTTAAGACTCGAGTCAAGTTTACTGAATGATGTATCCAAAGGTCTTGTAGGATTTAGATTAGATGCGCGAATCTCTTCCTTTGTTGCAAGTCTTTGTTCTGTTTCCCGCACATACTCTGCCAAGTATTGTCTATCCTCTTCCGAGACAGCATCTTCTTCACTAGTAGCTTCTTTTTCGGCTGTTGCTGCTTCGCTTGTGTTTTCGGACATTATGAAATATTCTATAATGCAAAAGAAATCGTATGTTTCTTTTATTCTAACGAGAAATGCAATTAAATTCATAAAACAATCCACACATGTGACGTTATAGCGATCATATTAGGATAATCAAATATCATAAGCAAGCAAATGTTATTATACTTATCTTCATACAAGATACATCATAAATGCGTTAATAAGTACCTACTTGAAACGACCGGGTGGCGAATTTATTCCACTTGTTTACTGTTTACTATCGTGTCTTAGGACTCGACAAGGTTATGTCTATATGGCAGACGACAGTTTCCTCCATTGACTTTACAATTTATAAATGAGTATAAAAGCCAATGTTTCTTATGGTTCCTTGTTCGTATGTACATACGTAACACCACGTGATGATAATATTTCTCGCATACAGCAAGATAAAATTGGTAACCTCAAAGTGCAATTAACAATAAGAGGAACAGACCATGAATAGACCTAAGATCTAATAAATACTGTGTAATCAATTCGCTGCTTCGAGTATATCGATATTTCGAGAATTGCATTTCGCGATAATTATCGAAATCGCCACTTGTGGCTCTGGGCGCGCTCAGCGGATTCAGTTGAACATTGGGCTGCGTTCAGCAGAAAAAGCAGCTTTGCAACTATTGTAAAATTCTTTAATACGATTGGTTCTTGCCCTTAGTTTCTGCCGGATCTAAATGTATAAACCAATCGTATTAAAGAATTTTACAACAGTTTCAAAGCTGCTTTTTTTGCTGAACGCAGCCATTGTCTTGTCAATACTCGACGTTGATTTGTTGGTTCTAAAAGTAAGAACCAATCACGTTCGATTGCAACCCAACTATTGACTCCGTTGAACGCATCCTGTGAAAAATCGAACGCACCGTCACCGTCATATTTGAATCACTCCGTGTGTTTCTTGTATACCGTTGACCGACCGCTATTATCTAAAAGTGTGAAAAAAATATTTTTGCAGTGTGTTTCACGTAAAGTATAAGTTATATTAAATTACGTATAAATTGTATTAAATTCGTGATTTCGATGTCTAATAATTTGTATGCCTGAGATCTATGGAAAAATACTAACGCCCTTTTATATGTATCTCGCCATGGAAAGGCATATAATGTATGATTACTATCAGGTATGTACATGCCGTTTTATAATTTATAGCTGCACATTGATATTATTCTTTGTATTCTTGTAGTACTAAAAATATTTCCGTTGATTATTTTATATATAGTCTAATAAATATTGCGAAAAAAAAATTAATATAAATATAGGTTGTGTATTCGCACGCGAACACATATACACACACACAAAATTCATATAGCTAAGCTTTAATAAATTGCAATACACATATCTATTTTTCTGCGAAATTATTTATTATTTCCAAGCTCATTTAATAATTAAAGTCCTTGACTAAAATAGACTCGGTAAATTTTGTTATTCGCATATATACTTTTCAAGCAGAACAGAAAATCACAATAATATCAAATGACATCATAATGACAAAAAGTTAATGACTTTTGATAGTCATTATGATGTCATTTTGATATTATTGTCATTTTCTGTTCTGCTTGGGTTCTCTCTTCTCTCTTTCGAATTCGTATCGATAAAAGTAGTATATATCCGATGAGGTACTTCAAATTCGTATTGATAAAGGTAGTACTCCGTAAGATGTCGCTAGATACATTAGCCGCGCAGATTCCCGCGCAAATTAGTCGCGCGAAAGCGCCATTTGCATTTGGAGCGCAAAGTACTGTGCCACAGAAGTGTGTCGTTATTTCTATATTCTTCTTTATTAATCGCGATCGCGGTAATTAACATGTTGTGCGAAATGAAAATCTATGCAGTATTTTTATTTTAAAAGAGCAGAAAGGAGTGCAAGTTATTCTTATAAGAAAAATAGGAATATTACAATATATTAATGTATAGACGTTCGTGGAAGTTAGGTAAATATCAATGTATGTGCGTATATCTTAGATATATTTAATAGGAATATTACAATATATTAATATATAGGCGTTCGTGGAAGTTAGGTAAATATCAATGTATGTGCGTAGATCAATATATCAATGTATGTAAATATCAATGTATGTAAATATATCTTAGATATATTTAATACAAATAAAATTATTTGTAGTTAGAAATTAAGTATTGAGAATATAAAGAATATATATATATACTTATATATTTGTACGTATATAATTATCATAAACATTTTTCATTACATATACAATTCTTTTTCCAGCAGAGGTGAGAGAGAGAGAGAGAGAGAGAGAGAGAGAGAGAGAGAGAAGACGGGATGGAGAGAAAGGGAGAACGAGCGTCTTCAGAGGAATAAAATTAGTACTTTCCTCGGATGCATAATGCGTTTCTCGGATGCATGGTGTGGTCTTCGGATGCAGCTAGGGGTGAGTAATAAATTACTCAACTTTTCTTGAAATTTGTCTTATTTATGATCAAATTAAATTTACGGCATTTTTACAATTATTGCGATATAATTTGTTTTATTTATCGATATGATCGATCATGGTTGGTTATTCCCATAGCTGAGATGTGCAAATATACATACAGTATAATGTATATGAAACCTCATATATTCCTTTTCATGAATTTTTTCGGGAGAAAGGGTTAAGATGTATGAATACGAATATATACCGTAGAGGTGCCTGATATACACGGTGTCTCTGATTAAACACATTTTTCCTCTGGTATATATGTATATGTATGTGTATATATAGTTCAGAAAAATAATTAATTATATAAAAATAATATGACATAAATATAATCAAATAAAAATCTTTCATAAAGATGGCGTGTTATGAACATGTAAATCATATAATAAGTAAAATATATTTAATAGAACTATATGTAAGAATATATACATTTTGATTATATAATATGGTACAGAAATTTACAAGTGTTGGAAAATTAAAAAAGAAATCACAATTTTCTGGAGATTAAAATCTTGGAGTTCAAAGATTTAAGATTTAGGATTAAGGCTTTTTTAAAATAAACTAGAAGCTATATAAAATATTCGTATGTTATTTATATGTGTAAATATATATGCAAATATATGTATTTTAAAAAGAAAGAGATTTTAGTAGATATGTATTTTAAAGATCATATTCCAAAAATTTTGAAAGTTGACGATGTGCCAAGATATTAAGTCCATAAATGCTATTATTTGAGAATTTAAAGATTTAAAAATCTTTAAAATATAACATTATTAATAATAAAATTCGTAATTATTTGGGAATCTAAAAATAAAAGGGTATAACAATTCAATGATTTTAAGAAATTGTCGAAAAGATACATGTTCGCGAAGACACGGTTCTATATTCATTTGAGGCATTTGTGAGAGGAAAAATGACGAATCAGAGACACTCGGTATAATCGCGCCACCACAAAGAATCCATAAAGGGTTAGACTGGCGCGTTTTTCGTGCGGCACCGAAGTAGAGACACTTTAAACTCTGCGACACACTTGTGTTCCTGTGAGCATAATAACGCGCCGCTATTAACCGTGAGCTTGTATTAAGCACTCGAGAAAAAGCTTTCATGCACTTAACGACAAATAATGCGACGAGTGCTACCAGTAATGGTTGCTCGCGCGGTGACTTTTTCAGAAAGTCTACGCTGATAGTAGAGATGCATCTATGTATTGCTGCAATCGGAACTATATGTGTCAAAATTTATATATACTCTATGTAATTCAAAATTAAATTCTTAACGGAATAAGTTTTCTTGCAAAAGTTTTTGCAAATTACAGAAAAGTTCGTAAAGAGAGAGAGAGAGTTTTCGAATACTTTCATAAAGTCTGAAAGAAATAAAAGTTTAAGTCAACTCCTTTTTTGCTTTTTGAAAAAAATAGTTTTTTGAATGGAAAATGCTATTTGGCATGTATATATTTTTCTACTTTATATATAAATTAGATATTAATTCATTAATTAGCAAGTTTAAGACAAGTTAACATGCTCAATTTCCAAAGAATCTAGCAGATTCAGTATATTGATAAATGAAAAGGCGTTAATGGCATCTGCTTTAAAATACCGACTTATTGAATAAACATTCTAGATTAAAAATACAATATATTGTTTGCATATGTATTTAGTACTCAAGTATCACAATTCATTCTTTATTCTCATCCAATTTCGCTTTAAGTCTTCAGTGTGGTCGTTTATCGAGAAGAGGAGCGCGAATATAGTATGACACTCACGCGCGCGGATCGAGCGTCAAGCCGGATAGCGCGAGAGGCGAAGAATTAAATAAATTTCATCCCTCGTGCCCCCCTCTCCCCCGTCCCTCGCGCTGCATCCGCGAGTTCGGAGATCAACGCGCCAGGTATGACGCCGCGCAACAAATGTCGCGTGAAATGCGATTTCGGGCCGCGACGTTGGGTTCTCATTCGATGATTCTCGTTACCCTTGTTACAAGTTTGGTGGGGTGGCGGAGAAGAAGTTGCGGAAGCAAATTGCGCGCGAGACCGTGAGAATAAATTGTCTCCAGTAGCGGCGACGACTCTCTTCCGCGCGCACGACATGGGTGACGACGGATGTTGGGGGCGATGGAACGGACGACCTGTTTCACGTCGCGAATTCTCCTTTTTTTCCGTCACCAGCGTTGTTGTCTCAACGCGTCTGCCCGCGAATATTTAGTTACCACGGCAGCCCGTACTCGTTACAGTTTCATCTCGCATTACCAGGTACGTGCGACGATTCTGTGCTTGCACCTGCCTCCGTCTCCCCGTTTACACACCGATCGTTGATCCCTCGAGTTACCTCGTTGTTGTAGGTCTACTTGCCGCTTTCCTTCACGTAACATCGTAATTAATTTAAGAGGCATTAATCGTCTTGAGCGCCGGTGGCGAACAAGGAGTGGCGGAGAAGACAGGTGTTGAATGCGCACCGCGATTTATTGCGCGTTATTGCGATATATTTTTCTCAATATGACATGAAGTGCCTTGCATACACAAGTGTCTTATATCTTATTATAAAAATACAGTATGCAAAAATACTCCTGATATAATTATTTTTATATATAATTATGTTATTTCCTATACTATATAATTACACTTGAACAAAGCTTATATTCCGTTAAACTTTATCTTATTCAGTTTGAAACAGAGAAAACCCGATAATTTAAAATTTCACAAATATAGAACGAAGAATAAAAAAAGCTAATATTAATATTCTTTGAAAATAAATTTAGGTAACCAGAGTTTTCGCATTTGTTAATTAAGTATAGCCAGACATTTGGACATTTGCTCGATATTGATTATAGTTACTCGTGTTTAAAAGATTAAAACGTAGTGTCGTGAATAATCGGTGTGATTATTGGATAACAAATGCGAAGAGAGAGTTCACGAATACATTATTACAATCTGCTGGCAATTCTCGCTCATACTTTTTTGGAACTTGAAGGGATCGCTCGGTACTCTCTTTCTTCCTTCCTTGTTCTTAAAAGACTTCCTTTCTGGCTAATGGTCTGCCACTCGTGCTTCCGCAACCGGGCGATGTATATTACAGTTTCTTCTTTATGGCACGAC